ATCATTCCTAAAATTATTTCAGTATACTAGTTGTTAAGATAAAGTTTGTTAGCTTTTTTTTAAATGCAACCTAAAGATCTCATTTATGTCTTTTACTTCTAAACAAACATTTTAGAGCTTCAAATACTGAACATCAGGTGTCTGTATTATATATATGAATAAAAACACTTTTGCTTTATTTGCTGATATTATGATATTGTTCAATTGCTAACACATCTTGTACAATAACAAAGGAAAATACCGTCCTTGACAGTCTAAAAATAGAGACTGCAAACAGAACAGTGGAAGGCAATTCAAGTACTTAAGTCAGTGCTGTGAGCAAAGATGAAAATGTCTTGTCAGTTCTGTTGTATTTCTTTTCTGAATCTATTTCCAACTAGTGACGCATAAGTAATGTAGCTGCTGCATTCATTGGTCTTCCGAGGACATTTACAAATAGGAAGAATTCTGGTGCAGAGTAGCTCCAGAAGAGAGTCACAGCAGAAGTTCTTAGGAGAGGAACGTGGAGGTGATTTGCTGAGACATGGCTGTATGTAGTTATATGGCATTTTGTGGAGGAAGGAGGAAGTGTGTGACTGTTCCTTGCAGCATTTCCTGCCCAGGCATTCATTGCCTATCTCTTCAAGAGATGTTGGAGATGCTAGCTCTTACTCAAATGCAAGGATATTGACACCGATGAAGTAGCAACTGGATTGCAGAAACGTACGTCCAGGTATTGGTAGCTAATAGCACGTTTAAATGTGCAATTGCCAGATATGGACTGATGCAAGTAAAGCTTCCAGGATTGTTCTGTAAATCAGTGCATGTATCCAGTTGGAAAATGTGTCTATTGGAACATAAATTTGCAAAAAGTAAGCATGACTGAGTTTTTTCAGTAGCTTCTGTACTAGTTTTATTAAATAAAGCATGTCTTTCTAATTGTCAGTCTTGTGAACGCAACTTTGCAAAATGAACTGTAAGATTCATGGAGGAGGGAACAAAAATATATAATACTTCTCCTTTCCCTCCCCCCCCCCCCCCCCCGTCTTTTTGCAGAGCAAAAATCCTAATTTCATATTTGCCTAGATGTGTAACTTACTAGGCTGTGCTAGCAAAGTTGGTGATGAAAGGGAAGATCTTGTTTAATATTTCGGTTTAGTGCAACAACGTGGAAGAATAAGTTGGTTTATTTGGAAGGTGCAGTTTTAGGGGAGTGTCATTTACATAGTCAGTTCTTAAGTTCAAGCAAAGATGATGGGTATTTGCGTTGCAGTATTGTACTTGATATCTCTGGCAAGCCCCCAAATCCTTTTCCTGCAATCTCTATGGCATTAAAAGGATTGAAATGTAAGAAGTTTTACATTTAATAAATAAAATATTTGAGCAGTTTTAATACACATGTTAAGACCAGGCCCCTGAAGTCTGAAAGATGCAGTGTGCTGGGGGTCTTTTTTGTTTGTGGTTTGGTTTTTTTTGTTTTTTAACAAATTGGGGATTGAGGTACCCTGCAATGTGTTTTGAAAGAGCAAACTGCTGCATAACTGGCATTTGAAGGCATTTGAAATTTGAGAAACGCCCTGGTTAACACGTCAGCCGGTTGAGCTTCACAGAGATAATATTGCATTGGTAGTGTTGTACAGGGAATTATATACACATATGTGTTCAAACTGTCTTTAAGCAAACCGTGAAGCAAATCATCTTTAAGCAAAAGATATTTGGTAAAGATGTAATACACTTTCTAATGTTTATTTGCAATGATGTGGAGTAGAGCTTTCCCTCAGAGGATGAAGGCTGTAAACTTCCTTGCTGTTGCATGGAAGGAGTATGATAGGTTTGAGGGAGCTTTTTGTCTCATGGAGCATCTGAAGGGAGAGGGAAGAACGGGAACATTTTCCCCAAATCTTGTGCTGGGGAGTAAAGAACAGCCTAGAGGGGGATTATGTCCTCAGATACAAGGCTGGAGAAGCTGTTTTATGAAATTTAAGTCATTCTTGGCAGCATGTATTCTTGGGGAAATTTAAGGGGGATGTATGTCTGTTAGGTTAAAGAAAATAATATTTTAAATTATCTAGAGCTATAGATCTTCCGATTCCCACATTAATAGTGCATATGCATTTTTTGGTAGTGCGATTATTCTGATTATTACTTAAAAACTTTGTCTTTCAATCTAATTTCAATTTTGGAACTCCTCTAAGAGTTGTTTGTTCAGGTGGGAGGGGAAACCAACTTGGTTGTTCTTTCTTATCTAAGTCTCTGATGGACTTATTTCTTTTGTCAAAAGTCAACTTTGTTTTTTCCTTTGTCAGAATATACAAATTTTTTGTGCATTTGGAAAGTTCATTTATTTTACTGTCTACACATTACACTAATTTAACTATGGGATGTACTGGATCTAGGCTTTCTTACTTCTTTGGGTGGAAGATCACTTAGGGGTTGGGGAGCAGATGATGTTGTGTTGATTTTGTTCTTTTGAAAGGACCATGTTACTTTTAGATATCACTTCAAAATTCCTTAGGTGTTTCTTTAGCTAATGCTGATTTTCTTACCAGAAACAACAAAATCTTTCAGATTTTTTTTTCCTTTAGTCCTAGCAAGTTTGATTAATTTACCACTGAGAAAACCTTTTGCACAGTGTCTTTTTGTCTTTATTCCTGCTCTTTTCTGATGTGATTTTTAGGCTGTGTGTTGAAGTACCAGAAATGTCAGCGAACAACTTAACTGAACCCATAAAGGCTCTAAGCATGTTTTCACTAGAGCTTAGGTAACTGCTGCTTCCTTGGAGTAGAAACGTGCGTTGCTCCCCTTCTGCTGAGCATGGTGCTTCTCCTATTTCAAGCTTCATCACCTGGGTGGATCCGACCTGACCACAGTACTTGCAAATGCATTTTCCTGAGGAAAATCAGGATGATGATTAGTGATCTAGTAACTGCCTTAGTTCCTTTAAAACACTTCAAATACATTTATATCCTAAAATTAGAAATAGAAATCAGTTAGACTTTGAAAGTCTTCAATCATTGGTTGTTGGCTGTAGACACAAAGTCAGGTGGAGCTTGGAGTACCATTTTGGCTCTTCTTTTTGTCTTGTCTGCTATTAAAAAAAAAGGTGTGGCTAACAATAACCTGGAAGACAATCAAGAATTACAGATATGTTTCAAATATATTGATTACATTCTCACTTACTGATCATTCAGGTTATTGTCTTCTGGGAAGGATTACCAAAAATCCTAAGACATTTCTGGTGACTTTTAGAATCCTCACATTCTTTTTTTTTTTTTTGAGTTCTGTGCAGAATTCGATACAGTACATTAAGTTATGGTACATGATATGGTACAGTATACGAGGTCCTTAGGATGATTGACAAAGGCACGTATTTATGGCAGGATTAAGTCTCTTAACCTTTTGTTAAATTGTGGGAGTTCTCTTCAAATGGACTTGGACTTTCTTCCCATTCCCATTTCTTCAACGTTATTTTTCAAAAACTTGTGACCTTGGAAAATAGAATGACACCCAAAGCTTCTGAAGAGGGAAATCCCTAAAATTGTAGCCAGCAGTTAGACCTCAGGCTCTGGTGCTTGGAAGACCTAGGGTTAAAGTAGGAGTTTGGATCCAGCATCAGCTTCCATGTTGGGTTCTTAAGCCTGAAAGGGATGAGTTGACTAGAAGCTGATTAACTGAGAGAATTGACTTCAAATCTTTGGTTTGCTTAGTATATACAACCACGATTTTGTACAGACTGCTAAGTTTCTTGGTCAGGTTGTTCAGCTGAACGGGGAGAGATAATTTATCTTCTTTGCTGGTGCAGGTCTGGGAGGTTCGGATCAAAATACCCTGTCTCTCAGCTGACTAGCAGCCTGTTTGATATTTTGTGTCTTACTGGCCTTCCATCCTTTTCTGTTCTTTGCATAGAAAAAAGCTAAAGTTGGTTCTGACATCATAGCATTATGTTTAGCCTGGGAAGTTAATAAGCTCTGACCATGTAGCATTAATGTTACTGTGCGATATCATATACTGCTCTTTCCAACAGTATTTCCAAACTATTTTTTCAAAATCATAACGTTGCGTCTAAGCTATCGCATGTCTGTAGAATCTCAGCAGTTTTCAGATAAAGATGGCTAAATTTCCACTCAAGGTATAAAATGAAAAAAAACCCCAAACCTGTAAGGTTTTATATGTGTGTATATATAGCAGTAAGAAATTAAATGATTAAGCTTAATTATTAAGGTTTCTTGTTTGTTGAAGTTCACTGGAAGTTAGAATGTAATTGGCTTGCTTCCTTCAGCAAAAAAAAAAAAAAAAAAGAAATCCCCAAATCCTTCTTTCCTTTTATTTTTAAGAAAAAAAATTAAAATCCCAACCCAGGCTTGTGCTCCTTACAGATGTTTGTGTGACCTTTTTTCCTTGGGGGCAGGGACAGCTGTTTCTTGAGTATGCTTTTAGAAGCAGAGAGCTGTGGTCCTTACAGTCTAGCTTGTGAAGGGAGGTCCAGGAGGTACTGAAGCAGGCTAGGTGACGTGGTGGAGTAAAGAAGATTCATTCCCAAATTCCCAGCAGAGGCAGCAGTATCATTCTGTATACCTGCACCTCAGACACCCCAACCACAAGAAAGCATGGGGTATAAATGTAGCTTCTTTCTCTATTTTAATGGAGAATGCCAACTATAGTGGGAAAGTATGAGATTTTTGTTGCTGAATGAAGGCAAAGAGTCTGTCTTACCCAGTCTTTTATGTGCCTTTGGAAGTGCAAAAGATTATAGAGGATGCAAAGTAGATGTAAAAAGATGAGTACACTTTGATGGAAGAGTGTCATGGGTGCGGTGTTAAAAGAATTTCCTCAAAACTTTGGCTTCAGGTCAACTTCAGCTGGAGAAAAGACTCCTTTCCATTTTTGGCATCATGCTGTATTTAATGAGCCTGGAATAAGTACCTTCCAATAGTTCTATCTCTGTACTTGAAAATATTTAAGTTTTGCTGTAAATATATTATAAACTTCTGTTATTGTTGGTTTTTTTTTTTTTGTTACAGGAGCTAGAGTTAATGCCAAAGACAGCAAATGGTTAACTCCTTTACACAGAGCTGTGGCATCTTGTAGTGAGGTATGCTTTTTTTTTTTTTACTGATTTGTGTTAAAATAAGACATCTCAAATTACCTTCTGTTCTTTTGTTTGGTTTTTATGAAATGAAACTACTCCAAACATTTGGAATTGCAGAACATTTTTGCAACAGTTTGTTTAACCTGTTGAGGGTGTGTATATATGTATGTATCTGTGTCACATGCCTGAGTAGGAAGGGGGGAAACTATAAACTTCCAGTTCTCAGCTTTGCTCTCTGCCATTTCCCTAGCAGACGATTCTGCACGCAGTGTTCTTAAGTCCAGTTTATTTCTCTTAAGGTAAACAGAATGGTTTAGCATGAGGGAAGTAGAGATGAACTAAGATTTAGTACAGTTTTTACAGCATAATCTTTCTATTTCTTCTTTTTTTTTTTTTTTACATGTTTGTTCAAACTGAAGAAATAAATGGTTATATAATGCCTGCAAACATCTTTTTTCAAGAAAATGATTAATGAGTAATGTTAGTATTGAAAATCACTTTAAAAGTTATAAATTAAATATGTAGAAACTTTTTGAAGTCTACCAGTTACACAGTTGTGAGATTATAGTAATGTAAATTTGTTATTGTTCCTCTATTGTTGATGTCCTAATAAAAATTTTAAATGCCTGTAGAAGATCAAAGCAAACAGAGAAATGCTGAGCTTGTTATGTGGAAGAGTTTATGCAAAACTATCTCCTTTGAGATCCTGAGTCAAATCAATGCTCATTTCAGTAAGTCTCAAAAAATAAAGGCTGTCTTAAAGATTCTGTGTAAATTTTTGTTTGAGAAGATGGAATTGAGTGTTTTGGTTTTGGCAAGCATTGAACTTCAAGTATTTGATCCACGAACTATCTAAACAAGCCTTGTTACAGTTTTTGCGTTTGAATTCCCTGGATAAATTGCAATATTTTGTCACTAGCATTAATAGCTAAAGTTATGTGGAGATTGTGTTATTCAAAACAGTTTTGAAAATGAATCTCCGAGGACGCCTTATTCCCAAATCCTATTAGTTCTTCTTGAGGTATTTTTAGGCTGCTCCTTTGGGAGCTGACCGAAGCACCAAATGCTACATTCTTCAGAGCTGAGGGACAATATCTGCTCCTTACATCAGTAACACTTGCAGAGAGAGGTGCAAGTGGACCTAAATGATAACTTCAAGAAATGCAACCATGGTCATATTTTTTTAGATGTGGAATATTTTAAACAAAATGCTAACCAAAGGCAAATGAGATGTAAACCAGTCAGACTATTTACCCAAAAGGTGCTTGTCAGAATTCTCCATTTTTAAACACAGTAAGTCAGAGGAGCCCACATATGTGGTTGATACGTGTAGGCACTGATTTCCAGCTGATGGACATACATGGGTTATGGGCATTAGATGAAAAAAGCTGTAATGAAAAAACTCTTGATAATGATTTCAGTTAAACATCTAGACTGTCTCTTGAAGCAAGGGCAGCTACAGTTTAACAAGGACATTGAAACATGCAAAATAGCTGGAATTATGGATTTAGCTGTCAAGTGCGCAAGTTCAAGCAACTTCATGTCAAGACGGTCACACTCCAGGCCTTTATATTTGTATGCCTCGTGTACTTTGAAAAAAAAAAAAAACAAACCAAAAAAAAAACCCCAAAACCATAAACCAAAAAAACCCTAAGTAGATTCATTAATTCTTGAAATTCATTAATGCATTCGCACAGAAGAATGTAAGATACACTATTTTTATACTAGTACTATGGTGCTTCCTTCTACAAAAACAGTAATAGCTGTTCTAAAAATTCCTTTTTCTGATTATGTTTTTTTTTCATATTTGGTTCAAAAAAGACAAAAGTTTAAAATATTGATTAGATTTTTAAAGTACTAAATCTTCTTCAGTTTCTTAGAGAATAGAAGAGCTATTCCATTTCTCATTTAAATTATAAGTCTGTGATGCAATATTTTCAATTTTATGTTCTTGTTTTCTTTTTTATTGACAGTACAAGAAATTTGAACATTTTAAATATAATTTATTGTAATAAATAGAATCAAATGTTACTTAGCATTCTGCTCGTAGCTGAGAATAATACCTAGCCATTGTACCACAGTGTAATTCGAAATTTCCAGTAACTACTCGTGATAACATGTTTTCAGTTCAAAGTGTCAACCATTTATTTGTGTGAGTTGGAAGTCACTGAAAGCACTTAGTGAATTGTGGGAAGGTCACGGAGTTGATATAAAATGCAGCATTCATTGTCCTGTGGATATCGCCAACAGATTTTTTTTAATGCATTCCAATTGTGTGCATATTTTAATGGGATTTGTTTATCTTGCTGTAAGAGTTACAGTCTTATTTGTCAAATTTTCACAGCTTGTATATTTAACAAAAGGAAATGAATAACCTTTTTTGTGAGATGGAATTCAGTGCAACATTTTGAAATGGTTTTCAAGAATTTTGCAACAGTATATGTTGAAACTTTTTATGACCATGTTCTGTTTTATGTGGTTCTCTAAATGTACATTTAATAAACTCTTCTTCTCTTTGCCATTTCTAGACTTTGACAATTCAAAAATTTTGCCTGACAAATTGATTAAAATGCATTATAAGTTCAGAGAACCTCACTAATCCTTAGCAATGGAAGAAATCAGAAGGAGGTTTATTGAGCTTTGGAAGTTAGTTGTGGTGACAAAACAATTTGCCAGCTGGTTTAAGGAGCTGGATAAAAAACCTGGAAAGTGGTTGATTCAGTTGAATCCTATAGGGAGTATATTGCTCGTGTTCTTGAGAACATCCCCAAATCTGGATTTATGATAAAGTACAAATCCCAAAGCATAAGATGATGTTTACAAAATAACAAATTGCAAATAGTTCTATTCCATTATACTGTCCTTGGATTTAAAGCTGGCATTTCAAATCTTTACTAAGTGGCTTGTGTTTTTTTGTAAATGCTTTCAGGATGCTGTTCAGGTGTTGTTAAAGCATTCAGCAGATGTCAATGCTCGTGATAAAAACTGGCAGACGCCCCTACATATCGCAGCTGCAAATAAAGCTGTGAAATGTGCTGAAGCTTTGGTGCCTCTTCTAAGCAATGTAAATGTGTCTGATCGAGCAGGTAGAACTGCATTGCATCATGCAGCCTTCAGTGGACATGTTGAGGTACGAGTTAGTTATTTTTCTTAGCTTGTTTCCCATTCATTGTTCTGTCCAACACATTTCTAACACTTAGTTTCTCAGTTAAAAATCATGTTTTCCCCATCCCCTTGAAAAACCCAACCCTTATTTTGTACTTGAATTTTTCTTTTGTGTGCATTTGTGTATGGAATGGTTGTGAAAAATACATGTTGCATCATTTAGTTGGAAGGTTATTACAGTGTTCACCTTAAGACTGCAGTTATCTATTCCTAGTTTAGCTCCAGTTAAATTTGAAATAGAAAAAAAGAATAAATTTTTCTGTTCAAGAGATAGAATACATTCCATATGTTCACTCACTGAAATGTGGAGGAAATACTTGTAATAAGCTCTAACTCGCTAGTTTTCAAACCCTGAAAAATAACCACTGAGAAATTCCCATTGTAATTGTGTATAGGTAATTAGGGACAAATTGTCAATAGGCTTGCTTTTAGCAATTACCTTTAGTGAATCCCTTAGTACTAGCCCAAAGATTTCAAAGATTCCACAGGTTTCCCATATTTAACTTGGAAATGTTTTTGTTGACATCGAGTTTTGTGTTCCTTACAGTCACTTCAGGGGGACAGCTAAATCTTTCAGGCTTATGGAATATTCAAAAAACAATACATTTAAATCCTTTGGGAATGCATATATTTTTGTTTTCTCTTATGATTTTGTCTAAGCTTAGGATTTCTCTTATGATTCTCTTATGATTTTTGTCTAATGGAGTTTTCCATTATGAATAGAGGATTTCTTTTCTTTCTGTTTATCCCAGATGGTCAGCTTACTGTTGTCTAGAGGGGCCAATATTAACGCATTTGACAAGAAAGACAGACGAGCTATACATTGGGCAGCATATATGGGTATGTACATATTTCAGTCAATTACTGTTGTGGTGGTAAAAAAAAAAAAATCACCATATGTTTAGTGGGTTTTATATGCTTCTAGGAAAAATACTTACATGATAGGCATTGAGGTTATCTCTGTGTCTCCCAGAAAACCATCAATAGTGTACTTCATATCACCTTGTAAAGGTGTTTTTGTGGTGAAAAAATCAATTTGTTGGAAAAAGAAAAGGAAGGCAAGTAATTTAGTTCTTTAAAATGAAGGAACTTTGAGCAGGATTCTAATCACAGGTGAAAACTTTTGAAGTAATGCTAAATAGAAAGTAAGCATTTAATACAAGGGGCATCTGAAACAGAGGATGGTTACACCAACCTTGGGGATTGTATTTTAAAAGAAAAATATTTCATCTCTAAAATTCCAAATTCCTGTCTTGTCGTTCTTATTGCAGGAGTGCATTATTATTGTTCCCATGGTATTGATCAGTGCGGTGGCAATACTGTCAGAGTAATGTACTTCGTTACCATTTATCAGACTTCCATTTTATTAAGTGATAGGAATTGTTTTCTTCAGCATAGCTATAATAAATAGTAGAGCTTTGCATCTTGAGCTTCATTTAAAATATGAGCAATATAAACCATTGGAAGGTGAATCATAGAAAATGCAGATTAAGAGTTCTGAGCTGATACTGACAAAGACTTCTTAGTTCTGGCTGATCACTTTAAGTAATTCACATGCAACTGCTGATTGTACCTGTTCAGGAGCCAGAAAGCGTAACCGCTTCCTTAACTTCCCGAAAATGCCTTAAAACTGCCCTTGAACATGTGCAATATGTGTTGTATTGTGAGCAGTGAACAAGTAAGTTTCAGGATTAATTTCAGGAAGAAGCCAGTTGAGATGATTCCATGGTCTTGATAGTCATTCAGTATTTTAGCTTATTGCTTCATAATTTTATCCGGCCAAGGGAGAAGAATAAAAGCAGTAGTATCAGCATTGTATGAACCTGCATGCCTGGGAATTCCTTTGAAAATGAAATAGGGAACTATGACCAGATTATATATGTGATTTGTTGTTCCAGTTATGTTTTGATGTTAAGTTCTCTTAAGAAAATACATACCTGTATGCCTAAGATACCATCTATGAAACTTAAGCAGAACAGTCAGGAAAAGAGCATGATCCTATTCTTTACAGCAGCTTTTTTTCCGAGGTGATCTGAAGATGTGAACAATTTTGTTCAAGTTACAAGAGAGAAATACCTCTTGGAAAGACTATCTCAGTGAAACCTTGAACTGCCATCTATAGAGGAGTGCCTTGTGTTTTTGACAAAAAATTAAGTTAATGTTTAAGGAGAGCAATTTCTATATTGCCCCTTCCCTGAGTAAAAAACCTAATTTTACTGTTTCTGACATCAAACTAAAAAAGAAACACACATAAACTAGGAAATGACATGGACTCATTACGTTGACATCTCAAGTCCAGGGTAACTCCGCCTTGGAGGTCTCATCTTAGTCAAAATGCCCCTCAATATGCAGTTAGTATTAATGTTCATTATTATAAATTAGACAATTACTTATAAATAGGCATAATGCTTTGCAATGTCTATGCGTGAGGGGGTGGTTCTTAAAACCAGACTTAAGGTTGCTAATTAAACACATTTCTCATCTGTGATTCAAAAAGTAGTGGCATTGAGTATCTTACATAACTGCTTTGGACGAGTTGC